CCCCCCCCCGACGCGCGCGTCTTTTCAACGCGCCTTTTTCACATCCAACCGGCTCTCAGCACGAAAGACTCTGGTATTCACAAGAAAGATGAGCTGCGCAACGAGTCAAGGACGCCCTACGAGCCGCCGTTGACCTTGTCGCGCAGCTGGCCGATGAACTGCATGTAGCTCGGCGTCTGTTCGAAGCGGTCCTCGATGAGCAGGCTGAGTGCCCACAGCCTCAGGCTCGGCTCGCCGTCCTCCTTGACGACGTACAGATGCGGTCGGTACGGACCGCGCCTGCTCTCGCGGATGCGCGCCACAATCGCATTGACGCGCGCGTTCATGCTGTTGTCCAGCTTGGGCAGCGTCGTCTTGCCGCCGCGCAGCGCACCGTAGTTCTGCGCATCAAACACGTCCATGCACAGCTGCGGAACCGCCTCCCTGCCCACCCAAAGGAAGATGTTCTGACCATCTTCGATGAGGTACAGACCGTGGCGTTCGAACCGCTCCGACGTGAGGTTGAGCTTGGCCGGCATGACGAAGCCCTTTTCGGCCACGGTGGTGCCGGCATCGGGAGCCATGTTGTGCAGGCAGTAGAAGCTCGGATGCAGGTAGGGGATGAGTTGCTGCGCGGGCAGCGTGGTGAGCAGCGCCTGCGCATACGCACGCAGGTCCGACGGGATCGACGCCGACTGTCGAATACCCACATGCTTGAGCAGAGCCAGCACAAGCAGCGGCAACTGCGCCATATTCTGCGCAATGCTCAGCTGCGGACTCGCGCCACTACCCGCCGACGTCATGGTCGACTTGTACGTCGAAAAGATCTCGACGAGCTTGTTGAACAGCGCGTCGCGCGCGTCTTCGAGCCTCGAGTGGATGCTCCTCTCCACCGCCTTGTCGGCCAGCAGCGTAGCAATCGCCACCTGATCCGCGTTGGCATACACCTCGGACATGCTCGTCGTCGTCGGCAGCGCGAGGTTGACTACGCGGATGCGACGCTCGCCCGAGCTGGTACTGTGCAGCACCACGGACTGGAAGACGACAAAGGGCGCATTGATGGTCTCCTCGATCTCGCACTCGATCGCATAGCTCTGGTCGAGCGGCACCGCCGGCAGCGCAAGCAGATCGGTGGAGCGCACGAAAAAGTTGCCGTGGAACGCCGTGGCGCGGATGCCCTTGGTGGCACGCAGACGCAGCACCGCCTCGTAGCTGATGGGGCTGGCGAGCACCTCGGAGAGCTCGTGCGACAGCTTGACGGCATCCTCGGTGCGGCCGGCGTGGAAGGCCGGGTAGAAGAACGTCTGGCCGCCGGTGTAGCGCGGGAGGCACGAGAGCGTCGCCACGTCGGTGTACGACGAGGCGAAGAGGAACATGTCCACCGACACCTGCGAGCGCGAGCAGTCGATGGGGAAGGTCTTGTAGAACGACGAGGCGGCAGCCAGCAGCGTGGACTCCTTGGCGGTGCCGAGCAGCTTGGGATCCTCGCGGTTCTTGAGCGCGCCGGGCCCGACGCTGGGGAGCGAGGCGGTGAGCACCATGATCTTGCCGCCGATGGGCGAGATGAGCTTGTAGGCGGCCTGGAGCGCGGCGCCGAGCGCGGATCCGGTGACGAGCGAGTCCTTGTACATGTCGCCGAGGCGCTGGAGCAGCGCGTCGACGCCGGCGCGGCACTCGGTGAGGTTGACGAGCAGGTCGTTGGGCTTGGGCAGGAAGACGTCGTCGAGGTCGCTCACCACGAGCATCTCGGGCTCGGTGGACTCGGGCGTGATGCTGAAAAAGTGCAGGCTGGTGTCGACGCCGATGATGCAGATCTTGGCGCGGTTGTCCGAGTTGGGCAGACGGTCGAGCGTCTCGAGGATGGTGCGTGCGGCGGTGGCGACCATGCCCGAGTTGATGGCGTGGTAGCTGACGTCGATCAGGAACGTGTACACGGGCGGCTGCGGCGGGCGCACCATGTACTCGCGCGGCGCGATGAACTCGACCACCGAGTGGTTGAGCTCGGGGCGCTGCCATCGGTCGGCGGGCTGGTTGGTCTCGGAGTTCCAGTCAAAGAGCTGCGGCACTTCGTTGGAGATGTTGCACATGCAGCACTTCCAGCGGTTGCCGTTCTCGATGAACGTGACGTACGGGTTGATGTAGGTGCGGCAGCGACGGCATCGGGCGATGACGGTGTCGGTGACGACGGGCACGGGTTCGTCGCCGTCCTGCTCGCGCACGGAGCGGTAGGGAGAGAGGACGAGGCCGAGGGGGATCTTTGATTTTTGGAGGAGCGAGGAAGTGGTGGGGATGGCGTTGAGCGTGCATCGCTGGTAGGAGGGGTCTGCGTTGGCCTTGGGATTGGCCGAGACGCAGGCGTTGGGCGGGAGGCGGATCTCGGGGGGCGGACGCTCAAGGTCGTTGACGTTGGGCTGTACGCCGCTGATGTTGACGGTCTGGAGCGTGCTGAACTTTTGACCCATGCCAGCCGCAGCACCACCGCCCATGCCCATGCCCTGGAACTGGTTGGTGAGGCCCTGAACGTTGTTGCCGGGGTAGCCTGGAGCGACGCCGGGAGCAGGCACGCCGGGCGCCGATGCCATACCGGGCGCACCGGGTGCAGGCTGAGCTGCACCGTACGGGGCTGGGACGGGCTCGGGAGCGCCCGGGGTGAAGAGCTGGGGCTGGGCATCGTGAGCGCCTTGGTAGCCGGCGTTGGGGGTGGCACCTGCATCGTAGGCGCCGGCGTAGCTGATGCTGTTGGCGGCGAGGTGTGCGGTTGGGTAGGCGCGTCTGCGGCTGGCACCGGGGCCGATGGAAGCAGGAGGGGGTGCACCGGC